GAGCACGCACTACTAGACGGCCACCAAATACGCTTCGACGAAGTTGACATTCTGCACCAATCTGAAAGATACTACCCGAGACTCACCAGGGAGGCTATCGAAATATTTAAACACCAAAACAATTTCAACAGAAAAGAAGAAATTACGGCACTCAATCCAGATTGGAAGCGCGTTTTGCGTCAAACAGCATGTGCGCCGAAGCGTCGGAACCCCCACCCATCCCCCACGCATGAGCACACGGGGCTGGGCGGCATAAATACGACTGAGAATCCAGCAGTTGAATCATTCTTAGTCGGAAAGCACGGAAGATCACTTCGCCCACTGCCTCATCGCCTTTGAAAATGTCCACCGCAGTTGTGGACGAAACGTCAGGAAGAAATTCCGATAGACCACGGCTTCAAAGCCCGGAAAACATTTCTAAATGTATTTTTATCAATGTTTCAAGAAAGGGTCATCTGTTGTATATACAACAGATTACCCTTTTTTACAAACTTGTTGTTGGGTATTTCGCTTCAAAAATTTTTGTTTTTAAAAAGTACAGAATTTTGTCACGTATTTTATTACAGATTGATAAATAGTGCTCCTATTTCGCAATAAGAACGAATTATTTATCAAAAAGTAATCAAGAACTATCACCTAGAGCTCAAGCTGTAAGAGAACATTCCAATTAGTAAAGAGATTAATTTGAAAAATTGCCTTGACGTTTCGATAACTATTTTCTGCTATCGTTATCAAAAGAACGTAAATGAACCTAAAAAAGAGTATGGTAATAAATTGTGAAACAATAGTAGGATAATACAGTATGTAAAAATTTTCAGTTATGTGAAAAATTTGCACAGACGAATTATCAGATCGAATTTTTACATACTGTATTATCCTACTATTGATTCACAATTTATTAACATACTCTTTTTTAGGTTCATTTACGTTCTTTTCATAACGATAGCAGAAAATAGTTATCGAAACGTCAAGGCAATTTTTCAAATTAATTTCTTTACTAATTGGAATTTTCTCTTACAGCTTGAGCCTAAGTGTGTCGCAGGAAACTCTCTAGGTGATAGTTCTTGATTACTTTTTGATAAATAATTAGTTCTTATTGCGAAATAGGAGCACTATTTATCAATTTGTAATAAAAAACGTGAGGAAATTCTGTCTTTTTTAAAGACAAAAATTTTTGAAGCTAAATACCCAACAAGAAGTTTGTAAAAAAACGAATCCGCCTCAATAATTTAGAACTTATCTATAACTTAGATGACCCTTTCTTGACCGATATCGGTAACAGTTAAATAAATATATTTTTTAAAACACTGAATAAGCTTTTTAATTCAGAAGAAACTAAAACATTTCTATTTTCAATTTTCCAATTGAAATTTTCAGTTTTCCACCACCTGTTTCTATTAAATAGAATTTAAATTATATTATTTACCTGCGGCCCCTCCTGTAATGATTGCCGTTTTGCCCACTAAACACACTTTGCTTTTGCACCAGAAACACGTCAATGCATTTACCACTTTCAACAAAACCAAGCAGGAAACAAACCACAAAATAAAATGCATATTAAGAGAAAAAATTAAAAGATGATGTTAGAAAGAAGACTGTTGAGCAATTATAAGGAAGGTCTTAATTAGTAGGCGTTTAACCTCCTGTCTATTGGACTATAAACGGTACGGTGTCGCACTTCGCTTTGGCTACTACTATTTGGCCAAGTGACCGTTTTATACAAAATTACTATCTACAGTGAATATCATTAATAAAATTATTAATCCAAATCGCGCAGGCGGTAAACAAAATGTATGTATCCTAAAAACAAATGGGTTTCGAAATCTGCATACTACCGAGATACGTTCTCAAAGAAAAAAGTAAAATCAACATAGGGATTTTCCCATAAAAGGTAATATTTTATGGTATATTTAAAATGTAAATTTTTTTGTAATTCGAAACATCGTATTAGTTTAAAACCGTGTCGACCTTGCTGATTTCGATAAGACAGTTAAGTTAACAGAACGTTAAGCAAGTTGTTTTATTCAAAACTCAGATTATTTAGCAAAGATTTTGTATTTACGTGTTTTTTATTATCGGTCAAACGGAAAAAATTTAAAAAACTACTGAAAGATGTAGTTTGTTTCTGAGGTTATTGATAAAAGAATAATATTTAACACGTTGCTCGAAAAAAATTAAACCCAAATTTAAACTTCTACTTGTCTCAAACTCTAGTCAAACTTGATTGGGATTAAACAAGTTTTATTGCAACGGGCCCTAATTGCTATGGTTTAATTTCCGTTGATCCACCCTGTATAAAAACTACGATTTATGGCTATCTAGTAGATTACAGCATCGAAATGTGGTTGATACCATCTACCTTATTTTGGAGTTTTGATATTCAAAATCAAGTTTTAAAAACCCAAAAAGCACTGTAAAATACTTTAATTTTTCACGTATATGCAATTCGTAAATCCAATATTTTCTCATCGTGTGTTTAGGCATCAAATTATAACACTTTACACACGCCTGTGGACTTCTTACCCTATTTTTCCTATAGTTTTAATCTACTTACTCAACTACAAGCTGTTATACAGACTGTTATTTAAATCTTCAATTTTTATTTTTTTTCCACAAAACTTTTTGATGTGTTTTTAACGACTTTTGTTTCATAAATAAATTTTCGAAGGATAAATTACTCGAATAAAAATTGGAAATTACCAACGAAAAACATTTTGATAGTTTCCATGACAATCATTAACCGCCACCAGACTTATTGTCAAATATTGTCCATGAGCAAATGGGTAGTACGTCAAAATTTTTATATTTTTTTGTGTTACAAAATTGAATCATGATTCCAATAGCAGCCAATATTCCATTAACTTTATGCTCGGTTGTCATCAGACGATGTATTGATTCATACACAAGACGACTTGTAAGTACTTTTTGCAATTTTTATTAGACGAATCGACAGCTAGAAAGATCAACAGACTAATTACTTGGAAACATTCGCTGAGCCCTTTGCACTGCTATTCAAACTTGCTCATTTCCTTCTGTTGCATACCCATTTAGTAAAGTCTAATAATATCTAGTGCAAGCTCACTTCCTATTTATTTGCAGTAGAAGAATGGGTTTCCAAAATGTCAGATTTTTTTTGGCGTTTGAAACTGAAAGTCCTCAAAAAGTAATAAAAAATGCAAACTTTTCGGGAGAACTGCTTACAAGGTGCAATTGTTACATCTATTTCTAAACAGCCGCACTTTTCTAAACATTTGGAGAATGTTTTATTATTTAATTCCATTTATTTTTGTCCAGAACCAGAAAGATGTAATTTAAAACGCATTGATCTACATCCATCTCAAAATCAACTTCTGTTCAGGTTCTAGCTGCAAGATCAATATCAATGTGACTTTCACAGACAATTTTAATTCCGATATTTGTTTCATTTTAATTTTCGACTGAAATTTTCAATTAGATTGTTCACTTTCAATTCATTGATTACTTCCGCATTTAATTAAATTTCTTTTTGTTGATCGTTCTGATTAATGTTTCAACTGTTTGTTAATTCGCTCGTCATTCAACATATTTTAAGCTAAAACTCAATCGCTTGTCTGTGTGCGTTTTGTTTACATTATTAGATGCAATTAATTTTTTGCTAATTATCCTAAATAAGCAGTAAAATTTCGTTGGCTCCAAATAAAGCCAACCCGAACCCGAGAAAAGGCAAATTATTAACTAATTTTGAATTTTGCAGCCTTTAGCTGTGGCATCCAGGTCTATATCCACTACTTCGACTGTAGCCGTTCTCTCAGGAGCCTTCGTTTGTCTGTACCACCAACTACGCAGAGGAACCCTCTTGCCACGTGGAGTTGGCAGGAGAGTTTCAGCAGTGGTGCGAAATTCCAGACACACCATTCAGTAAGGATCTGCCTCTGTTACTCAAGCGGCATTAATTGACTTCTTCGGATACATTCTTCGTCTAGGCGCCGAATAAAGAGGCCCTCCTGGTTCCTGCGGAACCTGACTTCTTGTCGGCAATCATGTGCTGAAGCGATTCTAGGGATCGCACAGCCAGCCGACGATTCTCTGGATCAGATTCAAGCTGAGACTGGAGCGGTTGAGAATGATGGGGCAATATCTGGAACGACGAGCCTTCCCACCCTCAACCGGCGACACTGCTCCAGGAATAGGAGATTTGTTAAACATTCCAAAAAGCCACCTGTAAAAAACCTATACAGGTGAACTGGATGGTCAATTCTGCTTCATTCACTAATATGAGTTGAGTAGTAATAGATCATTCGACTCCAACGACCACTCGGATCATGACATTCGATTGGTAGACGTTGATGAGCAAGGAGAAGAAGGAAAGTCAAAAAACAACAATGAAAATGTCCAGGGAAGGCCAATAACAAGGAACTTTCGCAAATCGTTACTAGCTAAAGCGGGGTGTGGTGATGAAAGCCCGTAAGCCAGAATGCCAGTGGCTATTTTTTATTAAAAACGCCTGAAGCCGAGTAGAGGTTTTTTAATAATTTTTTTGAAGATTATTGCCGAAAATGCGGAAAAGAATCGAAGACACACCACCAGCCAAGAAGGAAGATTGCTGCCAATTGGACAAGGAATCGTCAGATTATTTATCGCCCCTGTCGTTGACTCCGATTAACAAGGTGCGATCTCCATATGGTCAATCGAGTTCTTCAAATACATCGTCCAGAAGGCACTCCGATCCACTGGAAAAACAGCGTAAAAGACAGAAAGTTACTCGACAAACCAGAAGCGGGAAAGTGTACTAAACGTATACTATGAAAATTCTGCTCAGAAATTTTTGTGCAATATTAAAGGGGTGTCCAGTATTTTATTCAGTTTTCATTTTAGCTATGCATATTTTTGCCCCATTTTTTTCACCAGAAATTTCATTTTTCCTTCAACGTACCCAATCTAACTCTCTGAACGATGGATTTTGAAGGCGTTTTCTTACTACATTTTTTTTTATACTGACGTCTATTTCTGGTGTTTGAAAAAATATGGTTTCAAACCTTTTGCTCCCATCAAGTAAACTGACTTTCCGTCCAAATGAGGGTGTTTGCAAAGGCCGTTTCCTGTTTTATTAGTTAAATCAGGAAAATATTTTTTCTAGAACAGTTAGTCGGTTAGTAAAAATTGCTTAAGCCGCTATAAACTTTGAAACACTTTTTCGGGAAATTTTTTGCTTTCAAAGACTGTCGGATAAATTTTTGATATTTTCATTTGAGAATTCACCGAATGCCCAATGAGTTTCATTTTTTTCTTTCATGTGCTTTGATAAATTCAGTTTGTTTAGGAAAGAGGCAAAATGTGATCGAATGCTAATCGAGGTTTGTATGTTGTTTGTAATTTCTCCGTTGTTTGCGCTAAACTAATTATTCCTTTCTTGGGGGATTTTGTTAAATAGTTATCGGATTAGTTTTCCATCAGCTTTTCCGATGCAACTGTGGGCATAAACAAACGGCTAATTTAGCCCTAACTTTAAAGAAACTGCTCAACAAATTGAAGGCTACACAGCCAAATTTGCCCTAAATTTTGATCTGGATTTGTTTCTGTTTGAAGCGTTATTGAGCCCCAGTGGGTTTTTGAAAGTCAGTGTCTTGTCGTGTCAAAGTTTTGAGACCAGGGTGGCAAATGAAACAATGCAAAATTACGGAAAGTTCGGCCTGCTCCTAGTTGGACAAAATAGTTTTTTTTGCATAGCTCGAACAGTTTTTTTTATAATTTATTAACAAGGGTGGTCTCAAAAAATCAACTTTTTTGTCTTTCAGCGATACCTTTTCTGCTGTTGAATCGATTTTTACGATCTCGATAGAGCTCATGTTGAAGCTTAAACTTCAGAAATAATTTAAGACAAAGATTTGATAGGGTTGCAAAGAAAGTTATCCAAAAAAAAATTCTGAAAGACTTTCTACTAGGTGAAATTTACTTTCAGATATTTGGTTCATTAATACAACCCGGAATATCGATTTTTTCTGAATTTTTCTGTAGTTTTAGTTTCAACATGAGCCTCAGACTTTGAACATCGATTGAAGATAAGGAAAACTATTACTACGAACCAGCAGTTGATTTTTTTAAGACCACTCTGTAAATAAACGATACTAACGAATAATGCAATAATTTTTTTCGAGGTATGAGGTTTATCTTAATGCCTGTGGTATTGAAATGCAAAAAAACGTGTTTTTGCCCTACGGCGAACATGTGAAACTTTCGCCAATTCTTCATTGTTTCATTTATCACCCTGTAGAACCTTTATCCGAAGCACTAGAGGAATAACGAACGGTTATTTTATGTAACGGGTTACAACGTTCCAGTTTTACCTTGGTAATAGGTTCAAAATGCGATTCCAAAAGGAACATGCTACTTTTTAAATTTTATTAAAAGCATAATTCTTAACATTCGTGAACTTAATATAAAATATTATAAAATCAAAAACAAAACACGGGTCAGAAGTAACTGCTTAAAGAACAAAACAACTGATAATAATAAAAATAGAGTGATTTATATGCGGTTTATATACAATATGCGGCTTATATGCAAAAATGTTTAAAAATCTAATTTTTATTTAAAAATTCACTAACATTTAAGAATACAATTTTTTGCAGACCGTTTTTACTGATTCTAGTTCTTCGCTCGTTTATGATAGCACCCGATTTAGAAAATAATCTGTCGCATTTCGTTTCACAATAACATTAAATAATCGACCATAACAACAAACAGAAATTCGTGTTTGGCAAACCTGGATTAAGTATTACTTTACTCAAGTTGATTTTTGTATCACCAAAAAATAATTCAAAAAATATGTCGACCTTACAACGTTTATTACTATTCAAATAACTTTTATTTCATCTCTGACTGAATTTATATTTAAAAAGGGCCAGCTTGCTTAAATGTAGGTGCACATTCTGCTTAAAACGTTTGTTATTTTACATTTCAACTGTGATGGAATTTATGTCTTAGACTCTTAGTTTGCTCATAGCTCATATGCAAGTGCACGTTATGCTTAGGTTGCTGGTAATGGGCATATTACTCCCGAGCTAAGTTTCTTGAGAGAAATCCCTTTTTTTAAGATTTATTACAGAATGTCAGACAACTAAATACTTATAGACTAAAATTGCTGAATTATATCATCGCAGCAACTAAACAAAATTTTGCTGGTTCCAGTAGAACTAAACAATAATTCTTATAAACGAAAAGTGATACACAATCATCAAGACAACGCGCAACTATATACAACATATTTTCCGTTGACAAATGGTTACTGAAACTGCTGCAACTAGATAGAGCGCTTGGCGATGCAGCATCGGTTTTGTGCTGACGCGAACCACTTTTTCAGGTGTATGCGACGGTTCCAAAAACAACCGGTTAAATCGGTAAACGGCTGCAGCTGGTGCGAAATTTCGGTTTTATGAGACGGTTCCAAAAACAACAGCTGGAACTACGGTTTCAGGCTACACGTTAGGAACACTGTTATTTTAGCGGATAAGTTAAATACCGACCATCCCTATGAAGCACTACTTTTTTGCAGAAACAAGCACGGATTGGAAAAAAATTGTACCAAATAACGCTTGAACCAGAAATCAAATTGCTTGCAGCAGACAGAATTTATCCGGTTCCAAAGTTAGTCCAAATCTGTGTAACGTGGATTTCGTTCAAGCAGTTTGAATTAAATATTAATTAATAGATTTAATTAAAGATGAGCCAATAAAATAAAATAAAAAACAATTTTGATCGCTTACAACGATTGATCCAAGCAAATAATAGATTTTAATCAAAACTGAAGCTCTTGATTAACATTAAAAAAGCTTTATTTTATAAAGAAAAAATAGAAATGCCTTTGCAACATTTAATTCTCATCAACGGAAATTCATAATTTTATTTTATTTGCACGGTGTCCCAAAAATAAAGACAAAAACTAAATAGGTAATGAATTTGGGAGTAAACCGAACTGTCTTCATTTTTATCCTGCATTTCGCTATTTAATCGCAAATATCTCAGAAACGGCGGTTCATTGAAACATCGATGAAGAACACCTTTTTTGTGTTAAAATACTAGGAGAATAGACCAAGCAGTTTCAAAAATGAATATCCATGAGGGACAGAAAGTTGCGACTACTTTACACTACTACACTACTGCGTATGTGCGTTTTTCTACAAGTTTTTCAAAATCTGATGGTATAAAGATTTTTTTTATTGAAGATTCTTAAATCGTCATACATCGACAGAAATCCATCATTTTATTGGCCTCCCCATATAAATGTTAGCACTCTTGATTCGTTTGTCATCTTCAATTCTTACAGAAATAGCACTTGTTGGCCAAAAGTAGATGCTTGTCATTCACCAATTCAATTGTGAAATTCATCAATCTTCAACTTTGACACCCTTTGAGGGACAAATCGACCATTTCCGATGGACAATAGATCGTTTGGTATGATCTCATCCGGAGTCACGTGTGCTGAAGTGGTACGGCACGTGCCGGAACGCAGCCGAAAATGTTGTCTAATCTCATTATTTAGCGTTAGCCTGTTTTTCAGCTATTCTTGATTTATGATTCTTTTATTTGCTTTGATGGGATTTATGGGGCGTTAGCAGGGACGCAGCAACTGGTTTATATAAGGGCCGGTTTATTGCAAAATCAGAAGTTTGACCAGGAATCTGCAAATGAAGAGATCTAAAGTTTGCTTGCGAAAAAACAATGTTTTTCTCAATTTTGTGGATTTTGTAGGTATTTTATGAAATGCCTTTGATTTAGTGTAGGTATTTAAGAACATCAATATCTGAACATGCAGGCTACTGCTGCTTGTAAAATGTTAGAACGAAATAATACCGCAATGATGCCAGTCTTGCCTCGTTGAAAATTGAGAAGAAAATAGCTTAAACGATTTGAATAATTACTTAAATAAAACGTCCACTCCACACCCAGCCAGAATGGTAAAAAGTGCTCATTTTGAGGTCTTGAGGACTTGGAAAATTTCGCCGCTTCGTACTGTGTATATCAAATACTTCGTAGTTTTCAAGACAATATCGACTCAAAATTCGCAAAAATAGCCAGTTATGTAGTCCGGAAGTATCAATTATTCAGAATGTCTTTATTATTTTGTTTGCAATTTTCCAGATTTTTAACCGCCATTCAAGAACTTCCCAAGTTACAATCATCCATGCGAGTCAAAAAATAGTCGTCGATTTTTTCAAAAACTTCAAGTTAAAATCGCTTAAAATCCCTATAATTCTACCACATTTTCCTAGCTAACACGTGAAGAATTCAACTAGCCCACTCTGGCGCGAATTATGCGAAAAAATCGAACCATTTTACATAATTAACCAGAATAACCGATCTTTAACAATCAACCAATCAAACACTTTTCTAACATCCTAAATGGCAATTTCCCACCGTGAAAGTCTATAAAATGAAAATTTGCGCTCTCATTGACGATTTTTACTACCAGCTACCAAATTAATTATGTGAAGTCATACACCGACTTCATATCTCTTGTGCCTCATATAAAATGTCTTTTAGACCCCATCGGGACTGGATACGTTGGTTAAAATCCCTACAGGGTTCGTGAGAGCGCATGCCACTGTCCTTTCCCAATAGCTGCCTGTTTCCCGTGCTTGAATCCCTAAGGAATTATCGCCTGTGAATTCTGCTCTTGATCAGACTAGATGGATATCTGATGGACGAAAGTTGGCAAATGTGGAAAAGTTACTCGATAATTTAACAATTGAAACATGATAAACGTGGTTGATCTTATTGATGTTCAACAGGATTGGAACACAAATAGTTGTCTAACTTCGAATAAAAAATAATTTAAACAAATGAACTAGCAAAT